ATCCACTCTTTACTCTGGTGGCTCTGGAAATGTGTGAGATTTGGTGTATATATGAGTATGTTATTCAGATTTTGACTTCTTAGAGCAGACTGTGACCACAAAATAGTTAAGAACCATTCTTGGGCTGGGGATTTGGCTCAAGCGGTAACGTGCTTGCCTGGCATGCGCGGGGCCCTGGGTTCGATCCTCAGCACCACATAAAAATAAAATAAAGATGTTGTGTCCACCGAAAAACTGAAAGGAAAAAAAAAAAAAAAAAAAAAAGAACCATTCTTTGTCCTTTAGTTAGAGTTAACTTCCCTCATCTGCCCCCACCCCTGTCTGTCTCTCTTGCTTCTAGAGAGTGAACCTAGGACCTCACACCTAATAGGCTCATGCTTTATCTCTGAGCTACATCTTCAGCCCTTTTTAGACAGAGTCTTGCTAAGTTGCTGAGGCTGGCTTTGAACTTGGAATCCTTGGCCTTAACCTCCTGAGTAGCTGGGATTATAGTTGTGCACTGTTGTGCCCAGATTTTGGTCCTGGGGATTAAACCCAGGGGTACATAACCACTGAGCCATATCCCCAGCCCTTTTTTTATACTTTATTTAGAGGCAGGGTCTTGCTAAATTACTTAGGGCCTTGCTAAATTGCTGAGACTGGCTTTGAACTCCCGATCCTCCTGCCCCAGCTTCCCAAGCCACTGGGATCACAGGCGTGGGCCACTGTGCCCAGGCCCAGGTTTAACTTTCTGATGATCTTAGTACAGGAATGTGTTGATTCTTTACTGCCATCAGTATACTCCAAGCACCTTCACCTGTTCATTTAAGATCCCAGGAAGTCAGACTCTGTAGTTTTCTTACTCCCATCTCATCCTCTCATGGCAGTGGGAATATTTACCATTCTTTTTCTTTTGTGTGCTCTCAACTCCTAATGGAAGTGCTGTGCTTGCCTTTGGGTGGTCAGTGCCTGACAGGTGTCGCACGGGTGAGCCTTTGCTACATGCTGCACCTAATACTGTAAAGGAAAAACAAGCCTCAACTGGGTGTTTGGACAGGTAACCTTGGAAGCTGTCCGATCCCGAGGGCCTGTGAATTTCTGGTAGTAGGTGCTTCCAAAGTAGAGGCAGGGGTTGAGCCAAGCCAATGTGGATGGTTTAGAAGGTGTCAGCATTCTGACCGGGCTCTTCTTGCAGGGTTGTCCTTGAGTAGAGTGAAGCTCCCCATCTTGGTCCTTGTCATCTACCCTGGTGTGGCTCCAGGATGAACTGTCGTTCGGAGGTGCTGGAGGTGTCGGTGGAGGGGCGGCAGGTGGAGGAGGCCATGCTGGCTGTGCTACACACGGTGCTCCTGCACCGCAGCACAGGCAAGTTCCACTACAAGAAGGAGGGCACCTACTCCATCGGCACCGTGGGCACCCAGGATGTGGACTGTGATTTCATCGACTTCACCTATGTGCGAGTCTCCTCTGAGGAGCTGGACCGCACCTTGCGCAAGGTTGTCGGGGAATTCAAGGTAGGAGTGTGACACAGTCTGTGACAGGTGGGCCTGGAATGCTCGTCCACCCTGGTGTGCTGTTGGATCAGCTTCTCCTTCCTGAGAGTGTGAATTGGACTCCCAGGCTCTAAGGAACAGGTGTTGAGAGCTCCTCTCGGAGTCTGGGTGTTGTGGGAGTGGGATGCGGGTACAAATCCTCAGGGAAGAAGGGAGAGCAGGAAGCCCTTCCAGTGTTGGCAGTCAGATCCTGTGGGAAGACAATGCTCCTAAGGCCTTGACCTTTTGTCTGACTCCAAATTCTCTCTTAACAGGGCTGTGTTTCTGTGTCCACTTTTCTTTTTGCCAGTCTGGGCCTTTTGCATTTGAGACTTCCTCAGAGGGAAGACAGCTTGGCTCCACAGATGCCATCCAAGATGGGTGATCCCTTTGGGCAGAGTGGCATGGGCTTTTATGTGCCTGTGTGGAAAGAACACACCAGGCTGCTACCCTTGGTCACCTCAAGTGTTCGGAATGGCAGGATGATTTTTAACTTTTTCATTGAGAGTCATGGTATTTGCCTATTTCAGAGAGTGGCTATATCAAACTTGTAAATATCAAGGGGAAATTTTTCTTTTTCTTTTTTTGAGGACTGTAGGACCATGCACTGTGTAGTGGTTGCCTAGGGTCTGATGGAGCCCCTCCCAGGCCATAGCATTCAAAAAGCCCCTTCCCCTCATCTCTGCAAGCCCAGAAAGGGCAAGTTCATGAGGATTCCTAGTCCTTTTTCAAGAGAAGCAGCCTATTCATCTATCTATTCTCCAGATGTCTCTGAGAGGCACTCAGAGCAGGGTGGGTAAGAGCGTGGATTCTGGACCCAGACTACACCACCCAAATCCAGCCTAGGGAACGTGATTCCACTGTATGTGAAATTGGGTGTATGTATTCCAAGGATTAAATGAGTCAGCTGTGTCCAGTGTTTGGAACAGAGCCCAGCACACAATGTGCATTGTAGAATTCTGTGCCATTGTTACCATCAGTCAAGGTCATGTGACCTTGGTTTTTCCATGGAGGAGAGACTGTTCCCTGAGGGATAGTTCAGAATTTGTGGCATTCTTATTCTCTGGATTGTCACTAACTTGGGTTGAAATGTGCTTCAGTGTCCTAGCTGGGATGAGTTTGGGGCTACCCACACCCATGGGGTGGGATAGGCAGAATTATTGAACTAGTTTTTCCATTTGTTTCTCAGAGAATTAGCCAGGTTTGGCCTGTCCTTCAGCTTCCCTTCTTCATTCTGTTTCTTGGCTTCCTTCTTTCTATGTAAGGACTCTGTGTGGGGAATAATATGAAGGATAGGAACCAAAGGGGTGGGGGTTGTGGAAGGCGAAGGCCCTGAATATGAAGATGGAAGAGGGATTTGGGGTTGAGGATGTAACTTGGTGGTAGAGTACTTACCTAGCCAGCTCAGGACCTGGGTTCAATCCCCAGCACTGAAAAAGAGAAAAAGGGGGGAAAATGGATTTTGTAGTTGAATAGTCTGGATTCAAACCCTGGTGCAGCTATTTATAGGCATATGACTTTGGCAAATTACTTTCCTCCTCTGAACCTCATTTTGCTTCAGTAAAATGAAGGTAATGTACCTACTTCATGGAGTTGTTGAAAAGATTCATTTAAATTGTTTATTTAAATTTCCTGCAGACCAGAGTGATTTCTACAACATCAGTTCTCCATGCCCCCGCCTTGTACTGGGGATTAAAGACAGGGGTGCTCTACCATGCTTTTTTTTTTTTTTTTAATATTTATTTTTTAGTTGTAGGTGGACACAGTACCTTTTTTTTATTTTTATGTGGTGCTGAGGATCAAACCCTGTGCCTCATGCATGCTAGGTGAGTGCTGTACCTCTGAGCCACAACCCTAGCCCTACCATCCCTTTTTAAAAAAATTTCATTTTGAGTCAGGGTCTCACTAAGTTGCCAAGGCTGACCTTGAATTTGGATCCTTCTGCCTCAGTTTCCCAAATAGCTGGGATTATAGGTGTGTGCTATTATTGTGCTGGCTTTCTATAACATCATTATTTTTTCTTCTTTTATTTTATGATGACTGGGAATTAAATCTAGGAATGCTCTTGTCATTGAGCTATAGCCCCACCCCTTTTTATTTTTAATTTTCAGACAGGGTCTCACTAAGTTACCTAGGCTGGCCTCAAACTTGTGATCTTTCTGCCTCAGCCTCTCATATACCACTACACTAGGTTATAACATCAGTTCTTTTTTTGGTGCTGAGGATTGAACCCAGGGGCACTTTACCACTGAGCGACATCCCCAGCCCTTTTAATTTTTTGAGACAGGATGTTGCTGAGATGCTTGGGGGCTTTGCTAAACTGCTTAGATTGCCTTCGACCTTGGAATCCTCCTGCCTCTGTCTCCCAAGTGGCTGGGGTTATAGGCATGTGTCACTGTGCCTGACATAACATGAATTGTTAACAAAGCCAGAGGTGTTGGGTTAGGAGATAGGCATTAGTTTGCTTGAACCACTTATTTGCAGGCTGGTTGTGTTACTCTCATGCAAATCCTTTATTATCTGGGTCTCACTCCTTGTCATTTCTAAAGGATGAATAGAGCTAGGATTGTGTAATTCCTAGGACTCAGGAGCAGGTCCCTCCAGGGAAAGAACTCCTCAGAGACTTTGGCTTGCTCATCTCTTCCCTTTTTCCCAGGATGCACTGAGAAACTCAGGTGGTGATGGGCTGGGGCAGATGTCCTTGGAGTTCTATCAGAAGAAGAAGTCTCGCTGGCCTTTCTCAGACGAGTGCATTCCTTGGGAAGTGTGGACTGTGAAGGTGCACGTGGTAGCCCTGGCCACAGAGCAGGAGCGACAAATCTGCCGGGAGAAGGTGGGTGAGAAGCTCTGTGAGAAGATCATCAACATTGTGGAGGTGATGAACCGGCATGAGTACCTGCCCAAGATGCCCACCCAGTCGGAGGTGGACAACGTGTTTGACACAGGCTTGCGGGACGTGCAGCCCTACCTCTACAAGATCTCCTTTCAGATCACTGATGCCCTGGGCACCTCAGTCACCACCACCATGCGTAGGCTTATCAAAGACACCCTTGCCCTGTAGCCTTCGTTGAAGCCTTGAGAGCTTCCTCAGGGTTCCCAGACCTTGGTTTCTGGGCATTGTACTGTCAGGTCTTTTGGACTCTGGAACCTGCTCTGGGTCCTGGTGAGACTTGGATGGGACAGACTCCAGCTCCCTTGTTTTGTGGTTGCCAGCCTCTGGTCATCCCTGTGACCTTTGCTGGTGGTCAGGTCCTGCCTACAGTCTCCAACCCTTGTTCCCCTTTCTTCTCTACTGTACAGAAGAGCCTTCATAAGGATGGTGAATAAAATTGAGATGTGAGTTTAGGTTCAGCCATCACTCCCTTGGCTTGTGTCTTGCTCCAAAGCATTAACACTTTTTGGCCTTCCTTTGAGGACATGGGTGTGTGTTGTGGGCATTACTCCAAGATGAGGAGAATTGGTAGATTGGATTAAAGAAGATTGAAACAGATTTTGTTCTTTGTTGAATATGGACATACCAAGATGAGTGACCGACCATGACTAGTCCCATGAATGATGGTCACGGGGTGAGGGTCTCTTACTCTCTTACTGTTGGATGAACTGAGCTTATTTTTTTTTTCCATTCTTTTTTTTTTTGGTGGTACTGGGGATTGAACCCAGGCATGCTTAACCACTGAGCAACATTCCCAGCCCTTTTTGTTTTATTTTGAGATAGTTACTGAGTCTGACTTTGAACTTGTGATCCTCCTGCCTCAGTCTCCTGAGTCACCAGGATTAAAGGGATGTACCACCACTCCCAGCTTCTCTTCCCTTCCTAAGGAAACTATGACATCCTCAGGCTTTATGTTGTCTGGGCTTGCTTCATGGGGGCCCCAAAGAATATTTTCTCTGTCTTCGTAGAGTATACACAGGACTCCATCTAAGCTGGAAAGGTCACTTGATATGGGGATGTCTGGGGAGAGATTGGTCCACTTCCAGGCTGGGCTACCCTCAGATTGTTAGAGCATTGCTTTGGTAATTCACACTCATTTTTACCCAAGCATATTCAAAATATCCATTGTGTACCATGCTTTTGATTCAATCTGTATTTTACAATTCTGCTTGGCCACATCTGGGGCAGTTCTAACCTTACAAAGTGAAGTGTGAGTAGGGGGAGGAGCTAAGGGAGGAAAGCTGTGGGTGTGTGAGAGTGTCTTGCTCATGGCTCTGGAGCAAGCTGGGTAGCCAGGAGGATCAGGAAATGTTTGCATGTTTTTCCCAGGCCACACCACCCTTGGCTGTGTGCTCTTTCTTGACTGAGTTTTATGATGTCCTACTCTCAATTTCTGGGCATCAAAGTTGGAGGACTGAGGAGAGGGTTTGGAGATGGGGAAAACTTTTCCCAGCAAGTCCTTGATGGCGTGTGGCCTCCACCTGGCCTCCTGCAGTGCAGGGGTGGGGACGCTTTCCTGTTTTCCTTCTGAGGTGTTGACTGATAAGAGTGTTTGGCAGCAGTGACATTGTTTATTTTACTTTTCTTCTGTTCTAGGAATGGGACCCAGGGCCTTGCCCATATTATGCACATGCTCACTGCCAGTCTTGTGACTTTGTTTTTATTTATGTATTATTTATTTATTTAGGGAAGAATATACACCAAATTTTATTGGGAGGAGTATTTAGAGGAGCAGGAAGAAGAAAAGAAAATCACACAAGTTGGACCTAGGGCCTGGGAGATGGGTACAAGGCAGACCAGGGAACACAGAATGACTCCCTTTCCACCCCAAATCCTAGAAATAAGGGTCAGCTAGGGCCTAGAAAGACTTGGACCAGAAAAGGAGAGCAATGGACTGAGTCCCTGGGCTTGTAAATATTGACCATTCTGAGAGGGGATGGTTTGGGAGAGGGCTTCCCTACCTCCTCACAGGGTTAAAGGCCACTTGAGGCTGTGGGCCCCCAAGTTTGAAGTCTCTTTAGGTGACTTTATTCTTAAAAAAGAGGATTCAAAGTTGCTACAGAATCTTCCAGAAGACCCAGACAGGAGGGTTTGGCTTCCATCCAGCTTTCCTTTTTTTTTTTTGGTACCAGGGGTTGAACCCAGGTATTCTTTACTACTGAACCACATCCCCAGTCCTTTTTATATTTTATTTAGAGACAGGGTCTCACTGAGTTGCTTAGAGCATCAGTAAGTTGCTGAGGCTGGCTCTGAACTTGTGATCCTCTTGCCTCAGCTTCCTGAGCAGCTGGGATTATAGGCATGGACCATTGCACCCAGCCACTTTCTACTTTTCTGCATTCAGATTGCTCTTTCTTCCACCCTCTGGCTGGCTTTTATGGGACACCCAGCTGGCAGTGCGCTGCTATTGGTGGACAGTAACATACCCATCCCTTTTGGCATCATGATTCTTTGGAGACATAAGACTGGAGCCCTGATGGCCCAGATCTATACTTTCTTTTTTTTTTTTTTTATTTTTATTTATTTTTTAGTTTTCGGCGGACACAACATCTTTGTTTGTATGTGGTGCTGAGGATCGAACCCGGGCCGCACGCATGCCAGGCGAGCGAGCTACCGCTTGAGCCACATCCCCAGCCCCCAGATCTATACTTTCCTATTGGTAAATACATCACTCCGTGACCTGTGGGGCAGAAGAAAATGAGGGCTAGGCCGTGAAATCTTGGTATCCTCTGTGGCCTCCATTTTTCCTTGCTCTGGACTTTGAAGAAGGCCTTGGTCTGCCCCTGGGAGAAACTCAGATCCTTAAGGATGCCCATTTGCCTGGAGTCCCAGCAGCCCCCAGGTCAACAGTATTCAATAGTATTGAACTTTGACCAAGGACAGAAAGCCCTTGTTTGTCCTGTGTCCTCCCCAGATTGGGCAGCACCCCAACCAGCACTTGGGACAGGACTTTTTCAGTCCTCTGAGGGAGATACTGTCTCTTGGCCTTTGCCAAGGGAGGAGAGCCTCGGGGACAGGGCTCCTGGGCTTGACTGGTTGGATGCACACAGGTGGGTGTGTGGGCCTTGTTGAGAAGGAGAAATATGTTGGAGTCCCCCTGTCTGAGAAGGGACCATAGACTATTGGAAGAGCTTTCTCTCTAGGAAAGGCCCCTGTGCTCTGCGCAAGGAGTGGGGGGGCGTAGGACCTCTGGGGGACCCGCCCCTCATCCCGCCCAAGCAGCCGCCCTCCTGCCTGCCAACCAGCTGAGGCTCCAGCACATCTGGCTGTCCTGTGCACATCTGGGCAGCTGGTGTTGGAGCATGAACAGCTCCCAGGCAGGTCCAGCGGCCGAGGCCGCCTGGCTGAGCTGCTGCAACCAGTCTGGGCTGTTGCTGGAGCCCTCTGAGGGGCCGCGTGTGGTGCAGACAGCGGTGCTGGGCGTGCTGTCGCTGCTTGTGTTGTGCGGGGTCCTGTTCCTGGGTGGCGGCCTGCTGCTCCGAGCCCAGGGCCTGACAGCACTGCTGGCCCGTGAGTGGCAAGGGTTCCACGAGGCTGAGACTGGTGGCAGCACAGGTGATGATGACTCCTAGGTGTCTGGCAGTGCCCTGGGATCCCAGCCCCTTCTGCGCTTCCACAGCCACTGAACATACGCACCGCTGCTGCTGGGCTGGGGGCCCTTCCCCAGCACTCTTGTGCCTGCACAGGTGAGAGGGCTTGGGTGCAGTAAGAGGGGGCCAGGTGTCAGGGGGACTGTGGTAACCTTACTGCTGGACACCTCTGTGGATGCAGCCAGGCACTTATCTTTGGAGAATCAGGTCTTGAGGAAGTCTGATTCCCAGCTTAGTCTACCAGCTGTGTGCCTCTGCCTCCTCCCGATTGTCTCTCTTGTAGCACTAAGTGCCCTAAGTCCCCCTCCCCTTCTGGGAACAGATGGCCACTGTGTAATTGTGGGAGAGGGAGGCAGGTGGACCTAAGAGGAGGTAGTCTGAAGGGCCCACAGTGTGCTTTGGAGCCCTTCTGCCCTGAGACAGTCTCCCCATGTTCTGTACCACCCCAGAACCCCCAGGTACTGAGGCCCCAGCCAGCAGGCCCCTGCCGCCTTTGTACAGAAGGCTCAGGGGAAATGGGCCAGAAGGGCAGTAGCCCAGCCTAGGGCTTCAGTGTGCCTTTCCTCTCTTGGTAGCTTTTTTCCTAGAAGGGGGTTTGAGTAAGATTCCTCACTGTGGCTTCCTACTTGAGACCTCCTGGGAAGGGGGTGGTCTGGGTGACTCTGGGGTGTGGGGAAGTGTGCTGGGGCCCCATCCCTCACTCAGTTTTGGGGAACAAATGTAGCCCAGAGCACAGAGCATTGTGTGGTATGTTAAGGGTGTGTGGATGGCAAGGTTCCCAGCAGCTGGGGGGCCTCAGGAGCACCACGCTCTAGGAAGTGGTGCTGAAGACTCCCAGCTGTGGGGGCTGTCTGGGGCTCTTGCCTCTGTCTCTCCAAGGACAGGAACCATCTGGAAGGAAGGGCCTGGGTGGCCCAAGGACAAGGTAACTTGAGGCCAAGGCCAGCTCAGAGCTGGGTGGGGAAAGTCTTCCCATCTGTCCCCTTTGCTCAACTGTGTAATCAGGAGCTCCTGGGGTGGGAAGGTGGTGGTGGCAGTGTTGGTCAGGGTGATTCTGATCTCCCTTGGCCCTCTCACTCAAGAGCCTGTCCAGTTTTCCCAGGACAGGGGCAGAGTCCCAGTTTTCCTTAGAGGAGGGAGCCCTACTGGGTGCCTAAGAGGAGGGCTGGTGAGGGTCATGGTAGGTGTAGCAGGTGTGGTTAAGCGGCTGTGAAGCTGATGACGACGTGCCATCCTGGCTGAGCAGCCCAAGATTTGGCGCTAATCCTGGGCAGCTGTGCTACATTGGCCCTGCTGAGCTTCGGACTTCTCACCTCAGGGACCCGCCCCCACCCTGTGGACAGAGAGCTGCCCAGAGCAGCAGGAGTGTGTATGTGATGGCTTCTGGCACCAAAGCAGCAGACTGGGCCCAGGGGACATTCCCTGCCTCACTTTGCTCCATCCTGGGGGAGAGGAGAGAATTTTTTTTATTGTACCCAGGTTCTCCTGGCCCTCTGGCTTAAGGCATTCCATGCCTCTGCTTTCCCATTGCTGTTTGAGAGGCTGATGCCAAATATGGCTTCCCTCCCCAAAGGAACAAACCTTCACACATGCACATTTTGGCATTGCTTGAGTCAAGGGCTTGAACCTTAGGCCTCTGTGGCACTGCCCTCTCCTGTCCCTACTCCCCCAGCGGCCTTATCAGATCCTTCTGCTGCTACAACAGCCTTCCAGATGCCAGGCAGCAGCTGCCCTGCCTGCTGGACTCAGCTTTCCTGGCCTGAATCTGAGGAATGGGTAAGGTGCAGAGGGTTAGCTGAAATAAACATTGATGGAGAAAAATTCAGGCTATCAGAGCAGAGGGAGCTGAAGGTGGTGACCTCCTGGTTGACCTTTGGGTTCAAGTCCATGTGGTGTTAGGGGTGTAGAGTGATTCGGCGCCAGGGAAGGGCTGTACCCTAGCATCATCACGTCTGCTCACACCCAGGACAGGGCTGAGGTAGGTGGAGGGGGTAGGTAAGGGTAGGTCATCCAACTTCCTGCCTTTGACGTCCATACTCAATGTTTGAAGTTGGTGTCTGGAGCCCGTGGGGGTGTGCTGGGGTCCTCAATGTTCCTGGGGGAAGATATCGAGATGTTTGCTGTGGAAATCTGGCCCTGGTCAGGCTGAGTGGGGAGGAAAGAATTTGGAAAATGGTGAAGTGGGTGCTGTTGTCACCCCATCTCAGGCTCCAGCTGGGACTGAAAGGTGGGGGTTGATTGTAGGTCTGAGGGCCCTGAGAGAAGCATTGTGTCTGAGCTCCCAGCAAGCTCCATGAGACTGGGCTCTGTCCATGGGACAAGGACAGGGTGACTGATGGGTTGAACCTCCTCCCACTCCTCCATAGTGGGGATTGAACTCAAGGTCCTCTATCTCTGAGCTACGCCCCCAGCCCTTTTAAAATTACTTTTAAAAATTTGAGACAAGTTCTTGCTAGGTTGCCAAGGCTGGCCTTCAACTGGCAATCTTCCAACCTCAGTCCCCCGAGTTGCTGGGATTACAGGTGTGGGCCTCCACGCCCAACTGGGCTTAGATCTTCCTTAACTTCCCTCCAGCCTCTGCGTTCATCCTGAGCAGGAGCAGGCAGACCCTCTCCTCAGCCTCCACGCAATGCAGCTTCCCTCCAGCAAAGAAGGGGGTGGTCATCTCTTACAGATTCCTGAGCCTCTGAGAACTGTCCTTCCAGCTGCTACACCAGGGAACCCCTGCCTCCTTCAACCCATTTGCACCGCAGATGATGGCCTGGGAGACACCTGGACTGTGGGGATTCCTCATCCTGAGATCCATCCAGGACCCTAAAGTACTGCTGGGTGTGGGACCAGGAGGTCTGAGTGATCAGGAACCGATGAGTCTGCTTAGTGACTGCTACACGTTCTGGGCACTGAAGTGGCCACCTACCCTGGGAGCACGGGGCAGGAGACAGTGGCTATGCCCTCTGCTCAGTGGCTGTGCCCTCTGCTCACAGGTCTCTGCTGGCATGAGCATAGCCCCTGTCCTGCCTGGTGCAGGACAGCATGGTCTGATAGATCTGTCCCTTCTTGGGGTCATTGTTACCCATTTTGAGGCATAGGCACCGCAGCAATCTAGCAATGCTCATCACTTTATGTGGCTTGTTATTAAATATGCTGATCATGCAAATTTCAGCAATACAGTTTGTTTTTAGTCCCAGAGTTTTGAAATTAGTGGTTTGTTCCTGCGCTTCCCTCGTTTGACTTGTTTGTAGCAGATACTGAAATAGTGGCCTCTCTTCCCTGGTCTTTTCTAGTTTTGATAGATCCCTTTCCACCCTCAGATCCCAGCCCTCCTGAGGGTAGATATGAGATGGGGTTGAAAGTGACGCTGATGCTAGCTCTTGGCTCCCCCCCTGTGGCCAATGTGGGCAAGAGCACTGCCTCGTTCAACCAGTAGTGACTGTTGAGGTCTTGCCTAGTCCAGCCTCAGCCTGGTGCTGAGATGAGACTGGATTTGGCAGCATATGCACTGAGTTCCAGATTGTAAACTTTCCAAACTCCTAATCTTTTTGCCCATGAAGAAATGGAAGCTACAGTGTCACTGTGAATATCCAATAGGTAATGTACAGAAAGAGGCTTTCTGCACTGTAATTATCATGTGACATTGTTTTTGTTTTCCCTGAACCTGACCATCTCAGAGAAAGGGAGAGGAGAGAAGGAGAGAGAAGTTCCAGGGTGAATAGATGTTGGGTGGCCATAAGCCAACTTTTGTGGTTTGGATGTGAGGTGTCCCCCAAAAGCTCACGTGTGAGACAATGCAAGAAGATTCAGAGGAGAAATGATTAGGTTGTGAGAGTCTTGACCCATCAGTGAATCAATCTCTGTTGGGATTAACTGAGTGGTAACTGGAGGCAGGTGAGGTGTGGCTGGAGGAAGTGGTTCACTGGGGTGTGCCTATGGGGTATAAACTTTGTATCTGGAGAGTGGAGTCTGTCTGCTTTCTGATCAAAATGTGAGCGGCTTCCCTCTGCCATACTTTTCCACCATGATGTTCTGCTTCACCTCGGGCCCCACAGGATGGAGCTGGCCTTCTATGGACTAAGACCTCTGAAACCATGAGCCCTCAAATAAACCTTCCTCCTCTGCAGTTGTTCTGGTTGGGTCGTTTAGTCAGAGCAGTGAAAAAGCTGACTAAATCACCAGCCCTTGGCTGCTGCAGGTGAATCTCCAGGCAGGGCAGCCTAGGGTTATGCAGGGCTGGTGGGTTGAGGTTGAGCAATCAGGGACATCCCAGGGGAGCTTGTATAGGGCTGGGGCTCAGCAGGCAGAGTTCTAGGCCATAGTGTTCCTGGGGATGAAAGTCGTGGGCTGGATCATCTGGAGAAGACAGGGCAGGAGCCTGGAGGTGTGACCCTGGTAGATGCCACTTCAATAGAGGGAGGACAGAGAGGAGCTGGCAGGGAGATGGAGGAGGAGTGCCAGACAGCTGGGGGAAGGGGATGGGTTCCCTCGGGAGTCAGGGAAGAGAGGGTTTCAGAAACTGAGCCGGTGGCTAGGAACATTTGTGTTCCCAGCAGTTCTGGAGTGCTGGAAAGGGGCCACACCTGGGGACCTTGGAGAAAGGCAGGGGGGAAGGCTCCAGCCCACCAGGGCTGCCCAGCCACTGCCTCTTAGCCTTGGAAAAAGGAGCCCCCACACAGAAGAAGGTGGGAACATGGCTCCCCTGGGCTGGGGAACCCACTATTGTGGGTTGTGGGAAGAGGTAGATTCATTTTTTTTTTTTAATACTGTGTGAGTGCTCTACAGTGCACACCCTCACCTGCGCCCACAAAACCACTGCAACAACAAACCCCTTTACAGACTGGGGTCCCCTTGCAGCTGCCGTTCATGAGTCCTGCAGGATGGCTGAGGCCTCAGCCACAGGCCCCAGGTCCCCGCTCCTCTCTATGGCTGTGTCCCCACTGAGACCCCTCCACCTCTAAAGTCCCTACTTTACTTTTTTTTTTGTACCAGGGATTGAACCCAGGGGTGCTTAACCACTGAGCCACATCTCCAGCCCCAGCCATTTCTATTTTTTTTTTGTTTTTGAGACAGCATCTTGCCAAGCTGCTTAGGGCCTCAATAAGTTGTTGAGGCTAGCTTTGAACTTGCGATATTCTTTCTTCAGCCTCCTGAGCTATTGGGATTACAGGCGTGGGCCATTGCACCTGGCTAAAGTGCCCACTTCAGACACTTTGTCTTGTGGTCACTACAGTTCTCTCAGTCTATGCATGTGGCATTTTCACTAGGGTCCCTTGAATTTGCTTCCTCCCTGTCCCCCAGATCCTTGCTGCTCCTTCTACTTTAGATTCCATGGTCACTCTCTTGCCCAGGTCCTAATTTCAATCCCTGCGTAGGACCTTTTGGATCAAACCTTGGCCCTGGATAACTGCAACACTCTATTCTTTGACCTTGCACCCGACTGCTGGGTGTCCCTGGAAGAACATCACACCTGGACAGATGGATGGCACTGCAAATGGTCACCAGGCTCCCTGCGTCCTCACTGTGCCCTGGCACACTGCCTTCCATAGTCTCTCAGCCGAGCCTCCTTTCTCCAGGAACCTTCCATTCTCACAGGAAAGAGGGGGAGGGCAGCTCTCCTACCTCTGTGGCCTCCCAGGCCTACCTGTGCTGCCGGTTTCTCCTGCTTCCTAAAGCTCCTCCACTGGCGCCCGCCTCCAGACTCACTTGCGTTTCTTCCGCCTTAAAATAGCCCTCTTTGCCTCCACTACCTCCTCCGGTTACTCTCCTACAGCCAAATTTCTCAGTGGCTTCACCCTGCTTGTCACCTCTATTTTCTGGCCTCTGACTCGTCCCTCAGTCCTCCCCAGCCCGGCTTCCACCCTTCTCCTCCCAGTCACCAATTGAGGGGCCATCATTCCAAAATCCCATTTTCAGTTCTATTTTAGCCTCTCCTGGCCACTTCTGCTGTCGTTGACTCCTGCGCCTTCATGTCCTCTCCCTGGTAATGTGAACCAGAGTGACTGAGACTCTGGGCTCCAGGACAACACAGGGGCCCAATGCCAGTTCTGCCCCTAAGCATCTAACCTGAATTCTCCTCATGTCAAGAAGGCGGGATGGCGGTGTTAGGGACTCAGACACAGGCGGTGAGGTGATACTCTTTTGGCTTGGGCCCTTGACCTTTGGCCGTCTGCCTGGCTCTCTCCACCCGCGCCCGGGAGCCTTGGCTTGCCTTCTGCCTAGCTCCCCTTTCTGGGCAAGCCTGTCCTCCCTTCCAGCACTTTCTTGCCACTTCCTCAGTTCTCCTTCTAGCTCATCCCTTCCCAGGTGATAGAATGGCCCTCTCTGTGTCCACAGTTCCCTAGTCAGAAGCCCAGCTGGGGACATCCATTCTGTAGAGCCCCGTGGAGCAATGATTCTGGGCAGCTGCTGTCTAGTCACTGAACAGAGGTCCCTCTCCCACAAACCCTGTGTGTAGGTGTAGGGGCATTCCAGACCTGCCCTTAGAGTGCCTGACAGGGATCCCAGCCTGAAGGGGTGTCAGGAAAGGCCCTGAGGAAGGGACCTCTCAGACCCAAGGACCCTTTGTGAAGTCATTGCAGGTGATTATGCTTTGAATCTAGGGGGCCACTAGTGAAGGTGTCAGAGAAAGCCTCTCTGGAGAGGTGACATTCGAGTCAAGACCTGACCCAGGAGGAGAATGTAGTCAGGGAAGAGCTGGGGCATGGTGTTCCTCCAGAGGGACAGTGCATGAAAAGGCCCATGGTAGGACCAGGGGACAGAACAGAGGCTAGTGGGACTCAGCTTATGGAGGCAGAGGTAGAAGGAGGGTGTGGGATGTGGCGGGCAGGAAGGCCAGCCAGAGCAGGGTTCACAGTGACGGTGACATCTGGCTTTGGTTCCAAGTGCATATCCTTCCCTCTGGAACCATCTCTCTTGCATGTTCTTGCTCTTAATGAGTGACACCGCTTCTTCCCTAGTGACTGTCCTTGGTTCTCCCCACCTCACTCCCTCCACAGCCAGTCCATCACCAAAGATGGACCATTCTACCTTTGAGAAAGCTTTACTCCATCTCCAGGCCCCCAGCCTCACCTTTCACCTGACCCCCCACCCCTCCTTTGGTGCTTCTGGGCCTGTCCGTTTTACACTGGCATCATGGTGGTCTTTAAAAAGGGAATACCTTGGGGCTGGGGTTGTGGCTCAAAGGCAGGGTGCTTGTCTCACATGTGTGAGGCACTGGGTTTGATCCTTAGCACCACATAAAAATAAATAAAAATAAACAAAATAAAGATATTGTATCCATCTATAACCAAAAAGTTTAAAACAAGGGAATACCTTGTCAAGCCACTTTCCTGTTTAGCCCTATTCCCCCACCCCAATGCTGCTTCCCATTGCTCAGAAAAGTCTAAAAATCTTCCTGTGGTCCCTAACCATGGCCTTCTGGGTTCCTGCTCTTTCTCCTACATCTCTTGCTTCTTCCCCCTCCACTCCATCTTCTTCCATATCATGTTCTCTGGGACTTTGAAAATGCTTTTCCCACTGGGCATAGTGGCACATGCCTGTAATCCCAGCAACTTGGAAGGCTGAGGTAGGAGGATCACAAGTGAGGCCAGCCTCAGCAAATTAGCAAACTTCATGAGACCATGTCTTAAATAAAAAAAATAAAAATAAAAAGGACTCAGTGGTAAAGTACCCCTGGGTTCAATCCCCAGAATCAATAAAAGAAAAAAAAAAGAAAGAACAGTTCCCCTCCTCCTGCCCATTGTTTGAATGGCCCCTTGTCTTCCTTTGGGTCTGAAAGATCCCTTCATCAGGGAAGCCTTTCCTCACACCCCTCCAGACAACTAGGTCCCTATCAGACATTTCCATGGAGTCCAAGATTGCCCTTGATTATCCCTTCATGTATTTAATTCCATATCAAGTGTCCATTCTCTGAAGTTATATAAGCCCTATGAGAACAGGACCCATAACTGCATTGGTGTATTGGTTTACTGGGAGTGTCTGATGCATCGTAGGTGCTCAATAAATATGTGTTGAATGAGTGAATAGTTGAGTTCACAGAGAACAATACATGGTGGGGGAGGGCTAAGTGTCCCTGGCCTGCCTGCCCCTTGTACTTGGCCTGTCCACCCTCACTCATCTACCCTCACCCCACAAGATGAGGCATAGGCTGCCTGATGTCTTCCCAGCCCGTGTCCTGAACCACTGAGCCTCCACCCCACTTCAACTCTGTGTCCCATCCTCTTCCTGTTCTCCCCAACCTGCTTTATCCTCTTCCCACAGAACTGTGGGTGAAGAGATGTTGCTCCTGGGCCTTGGGTCATTTCCTTGACTATCGTTTGTTCTTCTTGGATTATAACTACTTTCACCTTCTCTGGGAGATGTCTGCCTTCAAGGTCTGGGCTGGGGTTGTGGCTCAGTGGCAGAGAGCTTGCCTAGCATGGGTGAGGCACTGGGTTCAATTGTCAGTATCACATATAAATAAATTAATAAAATAAAGATATTGTCTCCATCTACAACTTAGAAAAAAAAAGATTTTTTTTTTTTTTTTTTAAAGATAGCTGGGTCCTGGATCTGGCTCCAGAGCCAGCTCGGTGGGCCAGTTCCAGCTGATGCCAAATTGGAAGCAGGCAGGGTTGAGTATGCTGAAGGGCAATACTACGGTTTGAACATTCCTGCCGAAACTCATGTTGAAACTTAACCTCTACTAGGAGGTATTAAAAGAGAGTGGAAACAACCTGACTATGATATTTGGGGGTGGGAGCCTCTGGGAGGTAATTAAAGTTAAAGGAGGCCATAATGATGGGGCCCTAACCCAATGGGACTGTGGCTTTGTAAGAAGAAGAAGAGAAGAGACTTCAGCTAGGATGTTCTTTCTCATCATAATGCCCTGTGCTGCCTTGGGACTCTGCAGAGTCCCCCTCAGCAAGAAGAACCTCTCTAGATGTGGGTGTCTGATCTTGAACTTCCCAGCCTTCAAAACCATAAGCCAAATAAACCATTATACTTTATAAACTACTCAGTCTGTGATAGTCATTAGTAGTAATAGAAAATGGACCAAGACAGTCTTGTTGGAGGGTTCCCCTTCCTTCATCAAAGGCACCTAGGGGTGGAGGTATGGGAGACTGGCCATCAGGTTCTGAGTCTCCAGTGGAGGTGAGGCCTGTTATGTTTGTCATTGGTTCAGCCTGTTGCTGTTTAAAGAGAACCTAGTGGCACACGTCTGTAGTCCCAATGGCTCAGGAAGGAGCTGAGACAGGAGGATCATGAGTTCAGGGTCAGCCTCAGCAACTTAGTGAGGCCCTAAGCAACTCAGTGAGACCCTGCTCTAAATAAATATAAAAAAAAGGGCTGGGGTGTGGCTCAGTGGTTAAGCACCCCTGGGTTCAATCCCCAGTACCAAAAAATAAAATAAAAAATAAATAGCACCTAGGCTCTGCTCTATGCCTGTGGATGAAGCAGTGAGCCAGACAGGCATCTCTGTTTGCATTCTTGTGAAGTGGGATAGATGATTAACTACATAAATCATTTTAAATAGAGTAGAGCAGATGGTGTATTGCACCCTGGGGCTGCTGTAACAAACACTACAACAACAAAAATTTATTCTCTCACAGTTCTGGAGGCTTAAAGAACAAAATTCAGGTTCAGCAGAGGGGAATCTTTCCTTGCTTCTTTGGGTGGCGGTGGCACTATTTGACTTTTCTTGGCTTGTGGCTGCATTCCTCAACCTCTGCTCCAAGGTCATGTGATGTTCTCCTTATGAGTCTCCCGGCTCTACATTTCTTCCTTCTTCTAAAGACATTGGTCATTTTTTTTTTTTTTAATTTTTTTAAATTTTTTTTTAAGGGGAGAGAGAGAGAGAGAGAGAGGGAGAGAGAGAGAGAGAGAGAGAGAGAGAGAGAGAGAGAGAGAGAGAGAATTTTAATATTTATTTTTTAGTTTTCGGCGGACACAGCATCTTTGTTGGTATGTGGTGCTGAGGATCGAACCCGGGCCGCACGCATGCCAGGCGAGCGCGCCACCGCTTGAGCCACATCCCCAGCCCAAGACATTGGTCATTTTGGATTTACTCCATTTTAGTCAGGTATGACCTCATCTTAAATTAAACAATTATATCTGCATTACTCTATTTCCACCAGGCATGGTGGCACACACCTGTAATCCCAGTGGCTCTGGAGGCTGAGGCAGGAGGATTGTGAGTTCAAACCTAGCCTCAGCAACTTATCGAGGCACCGGTGGGACCCTGTCTCTAAATTAAATATAAAAAAGCACTGGGGATATGGTTCTGTGGTTAAGTGCCCCTGGGTACTTGGTACCAAACAAAAACAAAAACAACTCTATTTCCAAATCAGATCCTATTGTGAAGTACTGGGGCTTGGAACTTCAACATGTCTTATGGGAGAAGGGGCACAACTCATCCCAGGCAGGTGGGAATAAGTGCCATGGAGAAGGCAAAACAGGGAGGGTGCATGGGTGGGGGTGGTGGGGGAGGCTGGGTTTGAACTCACAAGGTGACATTTGGGCATGGAGGTGAGCAGTAGAGAGCATTGGGGAAGAGCAGGCCAGGCAGCAGGGTAGTGCTGAGACTGAGGTGGCCTGGTGGCCTGGTGGCCTGATGGTAAAGGAGCAGCATGAGGCCCCAGAAGCTGGCAAGCGTGAGAAAAGGGACCATGAGGACAGGAAGTGCCAAGGATATGGAGAGCCCCGGGCTTCAGTCCTGGGCGAGAAAAGTCAATGAGAGTCTGCAGGCCGAGGGGGTCCTTAGGGGAAGCCAGAAAATGGGCCTCTCTCACACATCTTCTCAGGAAGTCCCTGAAAGTTGTTCTCTCTCCAAACGCAGAGTGAGCCAGAAGCGAGGGCAGCATCGGGCTTCTCTTTGTGCTCCGGGAGAGCAGAGACGGGCACCACCTCAAGCACTCAGGGCAGCATCTGTTGGATGCATCTTCCTGCCCAGAAGTTCACAGATGGCCACTGAGTAGGCAGCTCCTTTTGAACTCTGTTCCCAGCCTCGCTGCTGTCCTTCACTGGCCCGGTACACGTTGAACTTTTTTTTTTTTTTTTGATACTAGGGATTGAACTTGGGGCACTTAACCACTGAGCCCACATCCCCAGCCCTTTTTTATTTTGTTTAGAAACAGGTCTCGCTGAGTTGCTTAAGGCCTCACTAAGTTGCTGAGGCTGGCTTTGAACTCGTGATCCTTCTCCTCAGTCTTCTGAGCCACTGGGATTACAGGTGTGCCTCACCTCATGGGCCCACATTGAACTTTAATGGACACCCGGGGTGTATTTTAGGGAAGGGAGAGTAGGTTTCCAAAGTCACTAGTGGAGACTTGACTTGGCCAACTGGCTTACTCCACATGTGGTTCCCTAAGGCTTCTGCTCCACTGTCCCTCTGCTTCGTTCCCTTCATGCCAATCTGCTGCCCTAGGCTTCAGGTGGTCCTCAGCTTGGGCCTCTGGGAGCTCCTGGGCTTCAGATGGGGCCCCAGCTTTCTCTACCAGAGCCCCTCTCCTCTCCTCCGGAGCAGCCCAGACATCGTGCCCGTCTGAGAACTGCTCTTTATTTGACGTTAACCCTCTTATTTCCATGATTTCAAACCCATTCTTGCTAAACAACCTGGCTCAAGATGCATTTGCCTCCTTCTTGTACTGACTTACATGATAAGAGCCATCATATTAGCTGGAAATTTCTCTGAGCCATCTGCTCAAATGCCAGCTCCATTAGGAGTCGGACTTTTGCTGTTTTCTTCCCTGCATATAGAGGGCTGTTAGAAAACATATATATATTTGAATCAACGGCACTACCTCTTAAATTTCTTTGATCACAGGGTGGAAAGGAGGGGGAACTGTAAATGTGTTATAGCCCCTTAGCTTTCTCTAGTCCACCCCCCTCCAAAAAAAAAGTGTCACCTCCCAGAATGTGCTAGAAGCTAACAGAGGCACATTGGAGTTGATCATATGATATGCTGCTGGCATAACCAGAAAACATAGAGAAATGTCACAGCAGAGTTGAAGGAGGGGACAGCTGGTAGGCTCACAGATACTGTCATGCTCATCTTTTGGATTTAGCAATAATGAAGTTTTGTGAGGAAATCAAATAACTCCAAAATGTTTCCAATACTGTTAATTCTTTAGACACCACTCTTATGGATTTGCCAAAAAAAAAAAAAGTTCAGCACGTTTTCTTCTGTGTGCAAGCTGGGTAAGAGGGACACAGCTGTGTAATTGGCTGAAATGTGAAGCAAGCTCTTGTACCTGGGAGGGCGTCCCAGAGGTTGTGGAAACATCCAGAGTGTGATCAAGCACTTCAAAAGCACAGGTGGCTGGTAAATGGAACAGTTTGTTGCCTGTTGGTTCCCAATTCTGAATGTATCTTTTTGTTTAAAATGTCTTTATCACATACCAAATGTTACAGGAATTGTAGGGGAAATGAACTAAAAGTAGAAACAATATTTCATCATTTGTCATTTGAGAGAAATGATGAATATTTCAAAACCATTTGGCAGGAAGCAAGGGATTATGTCCTACCTTCCCTCTCCCAGAGGCTAAAGCAGAGTTCTTCAAGTGAGTTCCAGGTTTCTCCAGCCCTAAGGGACTCTAATGAGTGTTACCTGCAAAGAGGTTTTTTTTTTTTTTTTTTTTTTTTTTTGGTGGTGGTGGCGGGGGGTGTGCTGGGGATTGAACTCAGGGGACTCAACCATAGAGCCACATCCCCAGCCCTATTTTGAATTTTATTTAGAGACAGGGACTCACTGAGTTGTTTAGCACCTCGCTTTTGCTGAGGCTGGCTTTGAACTCGCGATCCTCCTGCCTCAGCTTCCTGAGCCGCTGGAATTACAGGCGTGCACCACTGCGCCCGGCTAAACAGGGTTTATATTGCAGCTTTAAGGGGCATCATGTGCCAACATCACCATGATTCTATAAAAGAGATGGAGAGGCTGAAGCAGGAAGAATGTTTGAGCCCAGGAATTTAAGACTAGGGTGGGCAACACAGACTTTGTCTCTTAGAGGGAGGGAAGGAGAGAGAGAGAGAGAGAGAGAGAGAGAGAGAGAGAGAGAGAGAGAGAGAGAGAGAGGGATTTCCAAGTAGATTTGATCAAACAATTCTTTTCTTTCTTTTTTGGTTCTGGGGATTGAATCCAGGGCCTCATGCATGCAAAGTACACACTTTACCACTGAGCCACACCCCCATTCTCTCTCTCTCTCTCTCTCTTTTTTTTTTTTAATTTTTGTGGTAATGGGGATTGAACCCAGGGGTGCTGTATCACTGAGCTCCATTCCCATCCTTTTTAGTTTTTATTTTGGAACAGGGTCTTTCTAGCTAAGTTATCCAGGCTGGACTTGGACTTGAGTTCTTCCTACCTCAGCTTCCCAAATTGCTGGGATTACAGGCATGCACCA